AATCCAATCCCTTCATTCTTTTTCTGGAATAAAAAGACATTGATTATATTTCTGTTATTTTCTGTAACTCTTAATTAAATACTGTCCATCAGAACTGAAATTTGTCCATGTCTCCCCCATCACACACACAAAAGGAAAATACCTCCTGTATCCCTGATCCCACTCAAGCTATCACCTGTGTCTTCGCTGCTCATAATTTCCTCACCTCCTGCCCATTCTTCTTCTTTCTGTGTTCTATTTCCTCTCTCAGAGACTGACGACCTACAAGTACCTAAAGGCAATGGACATTTTCCAGTCTCATTTCCTTTGACTGCTCAGGAGCTTTAGACGCAGTTGACAGTTCATAGCTTTTCCAAATACTGCCTTTCCTTGCTTTTCCTCATACTACATTCCTCTGATGGTTTTCCCACCTCTCTGTCTGCCTGTTTGTCTCCCATTCATTTTCTAGACACAACACAAATGATCTTTTCAGAATCACGGAATCTCATAATCCCTCCAGTAACCCTCTATTACTCTTAGGATGGAACCCAAATCTTTTAAATGTGGCCTTCAGCTTTTCAGGTTCTGAGTCCTGCCCCTCTCACGAGGACTCCTGTCTCACCCTGGGCCTCCATCTCTCTTTTCTTGTGCTTCTACTACCCTGGAGTCTCATACCACCTACCAAATCTTGCTCCTACTTTCCCTCTAGATGGCCCTTTTTTGCCTCCCATCCTTGGCCTAGCTAAGTCCCCCTAATTTTTCAGAACCTAGGGAAGATTTTTTTCAGTCCCTTGGGTCAAGTATGTCTCACAGTTGTCAATTCCTGAGGCAACTGTGAATGAACTGTGAATAAAGGAATAAACAGAAGAATGAACCATGTGTCCTGAATCACCATGTCCTCACTGACTCCCTTAGGGCAAGGTAAGCATTTTGGACTTAAGTCTAATTTAGATTTATTTAATACTACTAAACAAACAACAGAGGGCAGCAGACCCAGGGAGCATGGGCCCCCAGGGCTTCCACTCCCCAAGAGCATGGACTCTGACTGGAGAATGCTGTAGAAAGACGGGGGCGTGGAACCGGACCTGTGGCACAAAGGGCACCATTCAGTCTGTAGTCTGTGACATTTCAGGGGGCACTGTTCACGCTGTAGTCAATGAGAACGATTGCACCTGGAGTCACAGGAATTATCCATTTACCACCTCTGGGTCACGAGGACCCCGTGAGACTAAACAAAAGGGGAGGCAGTGGGTTTAGTAAGTGGGAAGAGAGCAAAGAGAAGCAAGTTGATTCCTATACCTTAGTGCCCTCCAAGACAAGGAGGGCTGTAACCGAAGATCAATTATAAAAGAGAGGTTTAGGTTTATACAGCATTCATGTGCCTCGATTCTAAGCGGTATGTTCTGGCAGGTTTTAGATCTTAATGACCATCATCAGCATTTAATCAGAGTGGTATGACAGCTTGGCTGACACCACAAGCTTTGGAATATAAGAAGGTAATATCCACTGAATTGCAGGCCTCCTTTCACCTTCCATGCATGGTAAGAAGACTAGATTATTAACCATCATATATATTCAGATTCCAAGAGATCCCTAAGTAGAGCTGGGGCAGCCTACTCTGGGCCCTTCTGAAAGGCTCCTTGCCTCCAGGCTTGCCAAGTGACTCTTGGCTGATGTGTTTTAAACGAGCCGAGGCTTTTTCATTTAAGGAATGGCTACTGTTACCCCACCCTCTACCTCGTGTACACAGGTTCTGTGTGCAGGTGCCACAACTGAACAAATAAATACATCCTCCTCTCTCACTGTGGGCCATGAGGAGGTTGCTGAAAGGCCCCTGACTCTGAGACCCTTCCTCCTTCCAGGAATGTGGGCTCCCAGGTTAGAGGAAGAGGCTTCCAGCACTGTTACGTTACTGACACTTTATAATTAACCACCTAAAACTCTGCCCCACGGCATGTGGAGGAAATGACAAAGCAGCTGTCTGACTCACCCTCCACACAGCTGAAACCCTACTGACACAGCAGAATCTGTTAAGATGTGGATTTGGAAGGAGCAAGGAAGGACCTGGCTGGAGCAGTGAAGACTCACACCATGAGGAACACATCAGGGTGATTCTTCTCCCACCGACACTGGCAGCAAGAGAGGAAGGAGGCCAGGAGCCAGGAGATCTGGGGTCACAGACATGCTATGTGGCCACAGACAAGTCATTTCACCAATCTGGACTGATTTTATGTAATACAAGGGGGGTTCGTAAATTAAAACTGTAAAAACTTGTTGTTCTCCTGACAGCCAGAGGGGTTCCTACTTCCCCTATCTAGTGGGAACAGCATCCTGGTGTAATTCCCATGGCTCAGGGGTCTTTCTCCTCAACATCCAAGCGTTTCGAGTCACTGCCATCATAAACAAACAGCCATTCCCCTGACCTTCAGGCTGCCTCTGTTTTCTCTCTCCCATTTCCTTTCTCAGCCAGGCTTCTTTGAAGAGAAGCCTGAGTCCATATTCTCCATTTTCTCACTTTGTGTTATATTTTTAGCCCACTCTAGCCTAACTTTAATGCCTATGCAGCAACCACCTAATTGCCAAATCCCAGGCAATTCTCATTTTAAATCTTCCTTCATCTACTTGCATTTAATTTCATTGGCCATTCCATCAGATAGTGAAACTCCACCTTTGACGCTCCTAGTTCTCCCCACCTCACTAGCTGCTCCTTTTCATCAGTCTTCCCAAATTTGTCTTAACATGCTTGCCCGTTGGATGTTCTTCCCAGTTCCAGCCTGGGTCTTTAGGGAGGTGCTCACATGACCCCTCCCTTCTTCACTACCACTAATTCACTAATCCTAGATCACACATGCAGCACACACCACACTCCTCAGCTCCAGATCCAGCTGTCCCACTCCCTGCTAGATATTTTGACCTCGGTATAATATAGGCAATTTAAATTCAGTAGTCTAAAATTGAACTTAAGATACTTTGCCTTGACTTCTCCTCTGCTAAATTCCTTGCAGAGCATAGGTTTAGAGCTCAGAGTCCCTGGCTTCAAATATAAGCACTGCCACTTACCAGCCATGTGACCTTGGGCATGTTACTTAACCTTTCAAACTTTCCCATTTTCCTGCCTGCACTGAGGATAATGCTAGCACTAATATTATTACAATGACTGAATGAGATAACCTATGTAAGGCATGTAGCCAAACCCCTTGCATCTAATAAGAATCCAATAATTGGGCTGGTTGTGGTGGCTCACACCTGTAATCTGGCAGCACTTTGGGAGGTCAAGGTGAGTGGATCACTTGAGGTTAGGAGTTTGAGGCCAGCTCTGCCAACATGGTGAAACGCCATCTCTACTAAAAATACAAAAATTATCTGGGCATGGTGGTATGTGCCTGTAATCCCAGCTACTCAGGAGGCTGAGGCAGGAGAATCGCTTGAACCCATTAGGCAAAAGTTGCAGTGAGCTAAGATCGTGCCACTGCACTCCAGTCTGGGTGACAAGAAGAAAACTCTGTCTCAAAAAAAAAAAAAAAAAAGAATCCCACAATTACAACTATTACTACTGTTATTGCCATTTTTCATATCCTTCTCAGGGACTTGTGTTTTAGGCCTAGGAGTCTTCCTGCACGGCCCCCTGTCCATCATTCTTTCCTTAGAACCTGTTTGTACATCCCATTGCCTCGATCTCTTCATTGGTCTAGAATTGACCCTTCATTGGTTTCTGTTCTCTTAGACTTGCACTGCATTCTCCACAATGCGACCAGAATGGTCTTTCTAAAGCACAAACAGTATCATGTCACATCCCTGTCTAAAAGCACTTGAATGGTTCCTGAAGGCCTATGTGTAAAGTCTAAATTCATTTCCAAGATTTGCAAGGTCCTTCACAATTCTATTATTGCCAGCGTCTCCATTTCACCTACTGATACTTCCCCACCTCAATCCCAAAGCAGTGTCTTCTAAACACATATTCTTCCTAAAATGTCCTTCCTGAAAACTGTCTATTCATCACCTGAAAACTTTACCTGGCCCTCTCCCCTTTCTCATTCTTCCCTCTTCAGCAACACTGCTCTGCTTAGGACAGCTAGTCATACTATCATATTGTATAAATCTACTGCAGAACTTATCACTCCACAGCAATCTTAACTGATTTTCACATTTTTCTCTATTGGGCTGTGCTATTCAAGGGATCATTTTCCTCTTTACTGCTAGGATCAGCACAGGGCCTGGCACCTGGGGGGTCCTCAGTAAATACTTAATGAATGGAGGAAGAAATAAAGAAAAAGGTAGAACACTGAAGGACTCAGCTGTGGCACATAGGCCCCATCAAAATGAACAGCTCTCCACCATCACCCCAACACTGAATCTTGAGTCTACCATCATTCTCCTGCATCGCTGGCACAAGAGCCTCATTAGCCTCCAGTTCATGAGTTTCAGGTGCTCCAAAACCAAGAGGTTCTCTATAAAAGGCAACAGATGCCTCTTTTCACACCTACCCATCATTAACAAACTCCCCACCAGAAATGGACAACAGAGGCCAAAGAACTAAATGATTTCTGTCAACCTCCCCACTACCACTGCTGACATTCTGGCTTACTTTGCAGCTTTCCCAGAACAAAGGGAAGGAAAGCAGAGCTATTCCTGAGATTAGAGAGTGGGTATATGGGACTGGCAGAGAACAATCCTATGTGACTCCCCACTACCCAACAAACAAATATAAAATGAAAATCAGCCTGCCTAAGGGCTGGCTTATGTCTGAAATTCTGCAATGGAAATTTCTTTTCTTTGGCCAATGGCCTTTTTTCCAGTTATAATGTAAGTAATGCTAGAATATAACATAAGCCAGAAACCAGTATGAAGACACTTATAAGATCTTATCCAGCATAAAGGGAACATGATGGATTCTGACAGAAGAGAAAAAAGCACAGGTGGCAGTAAATACCACGGGAGAGAGGAAAGGGGAGGCTGGGGCTATGGAAGTCTGGGTGTTCATTATTAATGCCTTGCTTTTAAAATCAGCATCTTCCTCAAAGTTGGGTCAGTTTTATTTGAGTTATATTTTATGTGCATGACAAAGGTGTCGACTCAAGTTTTCTGAAAATTAAAAACTTCTTATGCAAGGTTTTCTCTATTGTCTGGATTTTCTTAAAGCAAAGCACACCAATATCTGAATCAGTAATTCTTTGGTCACATATTAATAATTCAAAAAGGAACTGAACTTAAAAAGAGTAGGGCAAGAAGGGACAGAAAACAGGATCTAAACTGTTTTGCCAATTCTGAGCAAACTTGGACAAGAATCCCAGGATTTGACCTCTGATCAGAACCATTGCTCTGGGGGCCACAATTCTAGTGACAATTTTCCTGCAGGTTTTGGCCTGTCTGTCCTAACTCAAATAACATTCATTTTAAAGCAAAACTGTCCTAGAAACAATCCTCATTAGAAGTGAAAATAATAGAAAAAACTACTGAGAATATGAGCTGGATATGTAAGCAGAAAATCTGCTATTCAGGAAGATGACAAAATATATCAGCCTCTTAAGACATCAAGATAGTAACTTGCTTTGTGAAAGTATGAAGCACAAGGAACCTTCTATAATAGAAAAAAAAAATATATATATATATACAGCAGGAGATTGTTGTAGCAGAAATGAACAATGGTGTCTCCTTTTTTCAGGGGAACCGAAGGATTGTCAAGGCTAACTAGTGACAAGAGAAATTAAAAGCCTTCTTTTTTGGTTATCTCCTCCATATGCATAGTTCCAGCCAGGCCGGGCTCCTCCCCTTCAGCTTCCAGGAACAGGAGCCATGCTAGACAAAGGAAGGGCTCAAGGTTCCAAGGGATGACCCAGATGCTCAAGGACTCAGCCTGTCTGTGGAACATTGGCTTATTCTACCAGATGTCCTGCTGGCCTGCCATATGGCCTGCATGTGACATTCTGCTCAGGATAATAGGGCCTGGGTCTATGCCTGGTTCTGCCCTCTGGACTGGGATGACGGAAGTAGTGCATGTTTGTTCCGATGCTACTGACTTGTCTGATGCAACCACTGTGTAGTCATAGCTTTCACTGAACTCCATGTAGCCTTTTCAGGCTTTCAAATAAATGAACAATACCCTGGCAAAGAAGGACTGAGGATGGGCTGCTGCTCTTATTCCTGTCTGACGAAAGGAGAGAACAAGCAGGTAAATTAAGGGACTTATGATCCAAGAGTGGTGAAGCCAGTGCAGAACCCAGATGTCACAACAGAGTTCAATGATCTATGTTAGTATTATTGCCAACAACATGGGATTTCACTCTATTTAAAGAGGCTCATGTCTCTTCTTTAATAATCTGCAAAGTGCCTCATCAGAGGTTCTCAGGTGATGTCATGCTTTAGAACAGTTGGTGAAGGGTTTACAGAAGGGTAACGCTAACGACTCAGAGGAAGAGAAGTGAAATTTTATAAGTCAAGGATTTTTAGTCCCAAGTCCTCTGGGTTTCATCACCAAAAATATGGCCTTTGTATTAATATTTGCCTTCTGTATTTGAAAACACAGTAAGAGTTGCCTGACTCTGACAAATGAAGAGAAAGATTGCTGATTGTTCAGAAGGATCTAGAGCATTAACTTTATCAAGATTCCGCAAGTCAATCCTAATTTGTTTTTTAAAATATACATCCTGGGCGAAGGGGACACAGAACCCTCTGTACTATTATTACAACTTCCTATGAGTTCTAATTATTTCAAAATAAGTATTTTTTAATGTATTTTGTCCTACTGATGGAAATGTGGCCCATGGTAAGTTATGTTCCATTTGATAGTTCTGGACTAAAAATGAAGCCGTAACCAAGAATGAGAATAATAAACAGCCCGAGTGAATTGTATGTCCTGTGAAGCTCAGGGAGGGCCCAGGCTGGGCGTGAGTCAGTGCACCTGTACCTTACCTGCAGCCTTTTGTCTAGGCTCCATATCGATGGACTATGAACTTCTGAAACCTCAGGGGCCACAGAGGCAAAATGGGAGTTTAGGTCAATCCATACAAGCCCTTAAAATCTCAGTTCCTAATTTTTACTACACTGATGCAAGACCAAGAGGGTATTCGGCAAGCTCAGCCCTTCCTGCTGTGAGGGATGAAGCCTGACAAGTGTTGAGCGGTGGATCCAGTGTAAAGTGGAGAACATGGCTCTGGAGCCAGACTGCTCGGGTAGGCGCCTCACCTTTTCTGTCTAACCAGTAATCTGACCTTGGGTGAGCTAGTTCACCACTTGGTGCCTCCAATACCGTGTACCTTGGGGATGGGATCACACTAGCAGCTACCTCAGAGAGTTGCTGAGGACTGAAGGAGTTCTTAAAAGAGTTTATCAGAGATCCTGGCACATGGTAAGCACCATAAAAATTACTATTAGGTGAGGTGAGTACCAGGAAGCCTGTTCAAGCCTAAAGGTACAACCTTGGGAAGGGTGTGTGGTTCTAATGCCAGGGATAATTACACTTTGAACCTTATATTACCCTTATCTACCTTTATTCTTACCTTCCTTATGAATCACCTTGAGGGATGGTAATCTTATCCCAGACAACAAACACACCTGGAGATAACAGGGAGGTAAAAAAAATCTGGATTCTACTCTTAGCCTCTAAGGATCCGACAGACCATGAGAAAGCCAACTTGCCTCTTCCAGCTTCGGTTTCCCATGTATTCAATAAGAAGCTAGGCTAGAACGCAGGTGATCTCTAAGGTCCCTTCCAAGTTGTGACATTTTACGCTTCTGAGTTTGGTGCCTGGGTTGAAAAAGGTTCTTTACTCAGAGTAAAATTCCTCCCAATTCATACTTCTAAGTTTTTTGCTGTAGCGTTGCTGTTGCCTAGGATACAAAGTGCATGTGCTCTCTGTGTACCCTGAGACAGGGGAGCGCTGAGACCGCTGCCTCTGATCTGTGATGCGGAACCACAAATGGGCTTTGTACTACAAACTGACTGATGCCTTGAACAGGGAGCGAGCCTCCGCTGGCACTTACAAATGTGGACTTGGCATTCTGATGGCGTCCCAGATGAAATGGCAGAGGGTGCATTCTGCCCCCCCACCCCCACTACCATGTGGTCTTGGGAAATAATGGCCTTTAAGTGTCCCCTTGAGCTTTCCTGGACCCAGGGGTGAGGCGCTCCCACAGGCCAGCAGGTCATGTCCAATTTCTTTGTTAAAGTGTACAGTGTGCTGTGGGATGCTCAGCTCACATATACTCGGGACCTCTGTCTAGGTTTCTTAGCCCATCTCTGCATTCCCAATGTACTTTGCAGCTGATATTTAATAAATTTCTGTGTGTGGGTGGGGATTGGGGTTCCCCGCTCTCATTGATATTCAGCCTAGACCAGGGTTTGGGGAAAGAGCTTTTAACTTACAGTGTTTTATGCTTTTCAAAGCAAATATGTCTTATCTATTCTGGTCCTTAAAGCTTCACTTAGAGGTTTAGGGCAGAAGTTATTTTCTCCACTGAACTTCGTGTCAGTTTTGGGAGAACAGAAGTCATGTCTGTCTGTTTTCTATCTTTATTACCCACCATAGCATCTGGAACTCAGTACTGTATCTACTTGGTAAATATTTGCCGAATTAGTAAATAAATGCTTTTCAGACAAGGAGTTAAAGAACTACTGGAGCCATACTGCTGATAAGAGGCTTCTGGGACATGTGTCTCCAGGTCCATTGCTTTATGACCTCGATAGCTAATCTCAGAGAGGCTCAAAATGGATTTGCATTGACAAAAATCAAAACCAGTTTCCACAGTGACATTCAGCAGTAGTCTTACAACTATGGGGCCAAGAGGGACCAGGGGACAGCATTTGGATGACATTGCTCTGAACACCCTGTATTTCGGGCATGGTAAAGCGGCCCCCTAATTCCAGTGCAAACTCTGCTTCTCCTACCTCTCTGCCTTTGCATGTGCTGTCCCCATCAGCACCTGCAATGCTCTTCTTGTCCCTTCCTCTTCATGACTGATTCCTCATGACAAATCACTTCCCTCCAGGATCTACCTTCTTTGGCCGTGAAAATCTGGGCTCACTTTCATCAGCACAAATATCACATGATATTATATTTCCTTATTTTCATAACTTATCCCCCCTCACTGTGGGTTTCTTTGAGTTCTGGAACTGTCTTTTATGGCCATAAACTCCCCCCAAAATGGTTAGCCCACAGGGTTTTAATATTTCCTGTTGAATGAATTTCTGTGTGCAACCCAGTGCCTTCTCAAGAAAAAAAAAAAAGTTGAAAAATCTCCCAAGAGCACTTTACTCACTGATGGTGAACTGCTAATGACAGGTCATCCACAATCACTCGTAATGAGCACGCACGCACACCAACACATTACATTATGCATTAAAATTATTAAATTAAGCATTAAATTATGCAGCAGTATGTGTGGTAGGCATTTGCCCTTACAGCTGCAGATGTGACCACAGTGAGATTTGGGCTTCCCTTGATTTTGCAATTGCCGGGAAGGACATTTAGGACTTAGCAGTGTGCCAGTGATACTGTCTGGCCTATTTCCTAAAATGACCAATGTTGTGGACCTAGGGCTCCAAATTCTATTCCAATCACGGGAGGCATCCTGGGGAGGTATGGAGAAAAAAGAATATTGCTTTCTTTAGACATGCAAACAGGCTAAACAATGGTGAAAAGATTGAGGGAAATTCGCCTAATTATCTTTGGTGGGGAAAAGTGTGACTGGTTTTCCTTTTCCTCATCTACTCACATACTATAGAGACTGGTAACTCTTTGATTAAAAATAGAAAGGATTATAAAACCAGGAAACGCAGAGGATGTAGTGGTCTTTTGTAGGAAGGATACAGGGACAAGGTACATGGATGAAGCTGGAAACCATCATTCTCAGCAAACTGACACAAGAGCAGAAAACCAAACACCACATGTTCTCACTCATAAGTGGGTGTTGAACAATGAGAACACATGGACACAAGGAGGGGACCATCACACACCGGCGCATGTAGGTCAGGGGGAACCTAGGGGAGGAATAGCAGGGTGTTGGGGGATTGGGGAGGGATAGCATTAGGAGAAACATCTAAAGTAGATGAAGGCAGGGATGGATGCAGCAAACCACCATGGCATGTTTATACCTACATAACAAACCTACACAATCTGCACATGTACCTCAGAACTTAAAGTGTGTATATGTATATATCTATATAGGCACTCTAGCAGGCCTGGGGAAAAGAACCGGAGAGACCTGTGGGTTTTTTCCCAAGAGATTGCATCTATTCCAAGCTGGGTGGAGAGGGAGAGCCACCTCTTTCATGTCATATGTGCTGAAAGTCCCAGACAGCCTTCAGATCAGTGGACATTCAACAAGTAGAAGCAGCCATCAACACAAACACAACCCCAATCCAACAGGGCTGGCCTGGTTTATGAGGTGCTCTCATCACCAGTCCCCAGGCCCTAGGCTCTATCTCAAGTGTGTGGGTTTTGCCTTCTGCTTACTGTCTTTCAGCAGCATCCAAGCTGCTCAAGGGAGAAGAGGGAAAGGAGGCCAGTGTGTAGGACAGGAGGGATCCCTCCTGTGCAGGATGGCACTGCTTGCCGCTCCCACCTCCCTCCTTACCTCTCCTCTTCTGAGATGAGATAAGGGAGCATCTCTGCTGACTGCCTCTTTCACCATGTTTTTTTTTTTTTTTAAAGGGACAAGTGAGAAAATGTAAGTAAAAATACTTACATTTCATAAATTTTAAAGGTGCTATGCAAGTGTGAAAAAGCAGTATTATTATCAGTGCCTTATTTAGTTGCAGCTTACATCAGCCTGGTATACTGACATTGCTTACACTTTCGCTCAAATCAATATTCACACTCTTATTTCTATGGCTGCAGCTGCTCTGCGAGTGGCCAGCTTAGCTGAGGCCTCCTGCCCTTTGCTCCTGTTGTTCTTTGAACCTGCAACACTTTCTGCAGCTCCTCTGATGGGCAAATTCCTAGCCAACCTTAGGACCCAGCACCAGACTGAGACCTTCCCCATGCCTCTCTCTACTCTCCTCTCAGGACACTCTATCCATTTCTACTGTGGATTTCCCACAGTGGGTACATTTGCTCATCTACCTCCTGTCTTCCTCTTCAGATTGTGAGCTCCTAGAAGGCAGGGTCTGTGGCTTATTAGTAGAAATAACTTCCCAGGCCCATATATAAAATTTTTCCCATGGCTGCTCCACTAAGAGAAGAGAGTTTGCTTGCTGACCTTCTTATTTTGTTTTCATGAGACCCACCTGGAGTTAGGTGTAATATGTAGATGTCAGAGACCAGAAAATTAGAGCTGATAATAACAAGCCAGGGTCGCATGCTAACAAAGCACCAGGCATTATGCTAGGCACCCCCTAGGAGGTTGCTGTTATTTGGCAGATGAGGAAATAAAGAAGTAATCTGTCTTTGGTCACAAAACTAAACAATGGGGCTTAAATCAGTTTGACTCCAATGTCTGTAGTCTTAATCTCTGCAGCAGAGAAAGGTAATGCAGAAGAAAAGGAACAGAGAAGAAGTAGTACTTAAGAATTTATTAAGAATAGTGTCATAGTTTTTTAGCTTGATTTTATGATTGTTATTTTAAGATACGAACAGCACTATTCCCCCTTCTAGTCTAATGGTATACCAGGTAACTGTGTCAAAAAATAAATAAATATACCAGGTGGGATGGCTCACACCTGTAATCCCAGCACTTTGGGAGGCTGAGGTAGGCGGATCACTAGATCAGGAGTTCGAGACCAGTCTGGCTAACATAGTGAAATCCCATCTCTACTAAAAATACAAAAAATTAACTGGGTGTGGTGGCACGCCTGTAATCCCAGCTACCTGGGAGGCTGAGGCAGGAGAATCATGTGAACCTGGGAGGCGGAGGTTGCAGTGAGCCGAGATCACACCAATGCACTCCAGTGTGAGACTCTGTCTCAAATAAATAAATAAATAAATAAATATATAAATAAGGTTTCTATGAAGAAGTCAAATAAGAGAGAAGGTTCATACAAGGAGCTAGAAAGGATCCTGTCTCCTAAGTCTTAGGTATTGGTTTCTACCTCTTCCTCCTGCCTCTTTATCTTTGAAGTAAAGGGTCAGCAGTGGTCAGAGGCCTCTTCCCTATCATCTTAGACCTAACTTCAAGCCTTTGTTACCAGGGGTGACAGGGCAGTGGTGTAGCAGGGACCCACCCCAAGATCAGGGAAGAGCATATATTGAGTACCTCCCTGCTTAGGTGCTTTTGCTTGGAAATAAACTGAGGACCCATGGCTTGCTCCTCGCCCTCCTGGGACCTTCAAAGTTAAAGAGAGGCTCCTTTTGAACCCCTTATTAAGTATTTGGCTGACCAGGCAGAGTTGATATGAGAGAGAAGAACATCAGAAGGCAAATCTCTATCTCTGGAAAGCTTGTCTATGTTTTTTACTTTCTATTTTCAACAATCAACTAAAATACTCTAACCCAATCCTACAAAATGGCTGAAAAAGGAGTGCCAATCACTCTGATGATTTCAACATCTTTTTCTATGTTCCAAATTCTCTCTTGAAATAGTCTTTGTAAGACTGGACAAGAAACTGCAGTTCAAATAATTTCCCTTTTCCTAGTAACAGAGACACCTGATTCAACCACTCAGCAATCAGGTGGGAATCTCATACACACGGCTGTCAACACGTTAGAAGTTAAGCATTTTGCCAGTGTACATGGACTGAATATGCCTAATGTCATTATTCTTCTTGAGATGCATCACACGCTCAGACCCACCTCTAAAATCTATCTTAATAGGAAAGAGGAACTACACAGATGATTAAAAGCCCTGAGACCTGACTGTATGTGTAGGCGGGGTGTGGTAGAATACTGCAGATTCCCCAGGGTGCAAGAGTCAGTCCGAGAGACACCTGGCCGAATTCCTTGTTGTGAAATAGGTGGGTTAGGTTAATGGAGAACCCCTAGACTACTTTGGAAAGCAGAGGTGGAGGCTGGTGCTATAATATCTACTAGTCCACTGTGCTCCAAGTATTCAGTTTTTCAGCTTCTCAAAGGGCTGAAAATTCTTCCTGGCAGTTTACAGTCTCGATTTTTTAATATTGTTTCTATTCCGAAGTGGGTGTATATATCCTCCCTGTGAATCCGGGCGATGGCTGCTTGAATGACAGAATGTGACGGTATGGTGCTATGGTATGGTAATGTGCCAGTTTGGGGCCCAGCACTTAATAAATGGGTGGCTTCCACTTCCTCTTTCTTTGGACACTTGTTAGAACCTAGCTACTAAAGTATAAAAAAGCCTAAGCAGCTTGTGAAGACGTCCTCAAGGGCTGAGCCCTGAGCTGACAGGCAGCACCCACTGGCCTTCCATGAGAATGAGCACCTTAGAACTGGATCTTCCCTCACCTACTAGAGCCACTCCAGTTGATTCTACATGGAGCAGTGAAGAGTCTCTGCTGAGCTCTGCCCACAATGTAGATTCAGGGGCTAAACCAATGATCATGGTTGTTTTAAGCACTAGGTTTTGGGATGGTTTCTTAGGTAGCTAGGTAAGTGATTTCTTCCCTGGATCCCCTCAGCACTCTCTCTATCCCCAAATCCTGCTTCCTTTGCTCTTTCCTCTCAGTCCAGCTGAAGACTGAAATGAGCTGTCAGAGCTGGAAATATTGCAGAGAATACATAGTCTTTGGTTAGAATACAGATGTTATGACAATTCCCTAATAATAATCTTCAGATTGCTTTTTTATGTGTCAAACAGTTGAAACTTGTCCCTAAAATGTCTTGTCCCAGTCTCCTAAACAATTAGGCTTCTTAGCACATTTACAATAGCAAAGACACGAAGCCAACCTAAATGCCCATCAATGATAGACTTGATAAAGAAAATGTGGTACATATACACGATGGGATACCATGCAGCCATAAAAAGGAATGAGATCATGTCCTTTGCAGGGACATGGATGAAGCTGGAAGTCATCATCCTCAGCAAACTAACACAGGAACAGAATACCAAACACCGTATGTTCTCACTCATTAGTAGGAGGTGAACACTGAGAACACATGGACACAGAGAGGGGAGCATCACACACCAGGGCCGGTTGGAAGGCAGGGGAGAGGGGAGGGAACTTAGAGGATGAGTCAATAGGTGCAGCAAACCACCATGGCACATGTATACCTATGTAACAAACCTGCCCGTTCTGCACATGTATCTAGTTTTTAAAATTTTTTTAGAAGAAATAAACAAAAATCAGGCTTCTTGATAGCAATACTAGAAATGCAAATTGTTAAAAGAAGGTACAATTTTACACTGGTTAAATTAGCTTCTTTTTTTTTTTTTAAAGATAATAATATGGTAAAATTTGGATGAAATCAATCTATTGCACATGGCAGGGTAAATTAGTATAACCATTTTAGAAAATAATTTGGCAATGTGTAACACACATGCTCCCATACACACAACACACACTTACAATACTAACCTTTGACTCAGTAATTTTATTTCTGGTGATTTACCCTTAGCAAATAATCTAAAGTAGGAAGGGAAAAAATGAAACTTATTAGAGGGAGGAGCTTTTTTATCATGGTGAACAAACTGGACACAGCTTAAAATTCTAAACATAGAGAAGTAGTTAAAAGTATATTACACCAGCCTCATGAAATATGATGCAATTATTCAGATAATAATAATGAAAACCAGTAATCTTCAGCTTATGATGCAATACTAGGAAGGGAAAAAAATCAGAATATGAAGTTGTATGTTCACTGATCACAACTTTATAAAACTGGAGATGTATATAGACAAACACTTGAAGGAAACAGCTAAAGAAAAATTTAAGTTATTTTAGATTTTCTCTTTTAAAAGCAATGCTTTATAAGTTTAACATTTAAAAAAGGGAGGATTGTAAGATGTTCCACTAAAAAGCATTAAGTTACCTTCTATCCAAATAAACAGCCCATTTTCTTAGTGAAGAGAGTTATTGTCTGTTGAATAAATCCAAGAACCAGTACTTGGGATATGATTTTTGAAATATGTAATTTATTCTAGACGATAACTTCCTAGAGAACAAGTCCTTGATCATGTTTTGTTTTATTTATACTGTGGATGTGCCCTAAGAAAACACTAAGGTAATTAAGAGATTTCAGCTAAATTAGTATATTATAATTTTCGCTCACTCTTTTCTTCTTATCTCCTACTTTTTCCTTTCTACCTCCTACTTTTTCCTTCCCAAGCTTCTGAAATATAAAGTGCTAAAATAAAATTAGCAACAGCAATTCCTATTTTTGGAGTGAACTTTAATCTGATTTTCACAAAGATCCATGCCAATTCAAAATCACCGCTGTTCTCCTGGTGCTGGTATTACAGGGATTGTCTTTTGTAATAAAAGTTAAGAATTACAGTCACACAGGAGAAAGAAAACCTGGCTTAAACTTCTCAGTGGTCAAATCTACACCAATAAAAGCAAATGAAAAACTGATTGCAATTGTGTACTTAGATATTTAAAGCCAAAAATATTTGTACTCCAGTTGTTCAAATACTGGCATTTAAGATCTTCCTCAACTCTAAAACATGCATGGGGCAGTGGAGAATGAAGACCTGGCTCATCCAAATTCCAAAGTCCCTCTTAAAGTCCTGTGTGTGTGGCAGCAGGGAGTAAGAACATTTTCTCTGCCAGCCTTCTTGCTCTTTGCTGGAGTCATCACCCTACATCACCAGGATCCAAATAAGCAACAAACTAAGCATTAAGTAAATTCCTATCTGAATATGTAGCAAAACAGTAAATCTGTATTTTTATAAACTAATTTCTACACACAAGACTTGTTCATATTTTACTTTGAAGATAATTAGCTGCTTGGAACACTGAATCTATTTCAAAATTTGGTCACATTGAGCATTTTTGTCAGTCATAAGATAATCATAGCTGATAAGGGTGATTCTGCAATCCTGCCTCTGTTAGGGCAACAAGAAGTCAGACTTCACTTATCTCTGTGGCTCTTTTCAAATCAGCCCACTTAATCCTAATACACATGTAAACATATTAGTCAGTCAACCATTAGGGGCTTGGGAGCTGAAATGTAAACTCCCTTCTTTCTTAGTAGACTTCTAAGCGAAACAGCCTACTGCTACACAATAAAACAGACCAACAGACTGAAGTCAGAATGTTCTCCACCAAAATTAAATTAAATTAAATACAATTACATTAAACTAAGTAAATAAATGAACCCCACAAACTGGATAACGAATTTTAAGGGGACCAAAGACTTACAGCTCTGGAAAGTAGAAAAGGTGATCATTCCCCCTCTCTCCCTCTGCCTTTTATACGCATCCTAAATCACTTGAGTTGTTTAAAAGAATCTGCATTAACACCTCTTGATCAGTGTCAAAGTAAAAATTGCTTAATAGTTAAGGGATGAAATGTGTAGAACTAAGTGTCATTGCTATGATCTTAATTGGCTTGATATTCTGACTTACACTGGAGTTGTTTGTGGCCTTTTACCATCATAGAAAATCTCCCCATCTCTTCAGGCCGATAGCAGGCTCACAAAGTGGAGAGACTAACTTAATGATGCAAATATTTAGGTGGGTGATTAGAGGCACTCTGAGCATTGAATTCTCCTGTGATCTCAAATCTGCTCAAGCAAATGATGGCTTCACGCAGAACTGAAGGTGTATCTAAAAATGATGATTTTGGAGTCTCAGTTAATTTAGAGTTGTTTTCTTTGAAATGCCTTTTATCATTTCCATTTGTCAGTGACCTTAAGCTGATGAAAAACAAGTGTATCTGAAGTCCGTGTCTGGTATTAAACAGCTATAACTTTTAATAAAGACTTTGTAGCAGTGCTTGCAGAGGTGCGAGCTGACTGAACTAGGAGGACTCTTGGTTCCCACACTGAATAAACACAGACTCACTGGGTTTAATGGTATGTCTTTCTTGCATCTTGTCTGGGTCTCTAGAGAATAGATATTTGGGCCAAGATGACTATACCGTAGTGCCTTCTCTAAAAGTTACTGTTGAAACGTCAGACTGGAGGGCTGCCCATCACTTTGTACCACATTGTGGGGTCTGTTTTGATTGGTTAGTATCCATGCCAGAGGGCTGGCAACATATTTTTGTTATAATCTCCCAACACGCAAAACTTCCTGGGCTGAAAATTAGAAAATCCTCAGTAATGCCAGTATTTGTATATTAGCGTTTTAACATCTTGGCTATAGATTTTTTTTTTTAAGTGTGGCAAAAGTACAGGAGTGAGTTAAGTCTCCTCTGGGAAATCAGCATAAAATCTATAGAAACGAAAGGATAGATCTAAATGAAATGAGCAGAATAATACCAGTGCTCAATCAGTTTGGTTTTATATTTTAAAAACCACCAAACTGCATAAAGGCCTAGGCTAGAAGTCAAAGATTTCAGCTATACAGCTCATCTATTTCAGGAAGAGTGCAAATTTCTGTTTTTATTTTGGTCCCATAATTCCCATAATCCCCATAATTTCTAGTTTTGAAAGTAGAATCACCACACTTACAATTCAAACCCAGGTCTGGCATTATTTTATCTATGTCTTATACTCCTGAGGTATCAAGATTACAGCCATGTTCCCAGAGACCATGTGTAGTCCACCTTAGTTCACAGCTGAGAAAACCAAGGACCAGAAATTAGGTAGTTTCCTGAGTATGTGTCACGGTGTGGACTCAAGACTCAGAGTCTGTGGCTCTTTCCAACTCACATCTGCTTACTCAGATCAATACAGAGTAAATGGCATTGGTGAAAAGGAGAAGTCAGGACCAGCTATGTGATTTGCAGGATCCAGTGTAAAATAAAAATGTGTTTCTCCTTGTTAAAAAAAAAATTTAAGAATTTCAAGATGGTAACAGCAGAACATTGCAAGCATGGGACCAAGTGCAGCTGCAGGTCACATACCCAGGAAACTGATGCTGCATGAAGTTGTTCCATGATTCACTGGACTTTGACGCTTTGAAGAGAAAGGGGAAGAAAAGTCCCGTGAGCACTGAAGATGCTCTAAAATTATCCATTGCATGGATAAATGAATGAATAAGTGAGTGAGTACAGGACTTAGAAGCATCTTAAAAATTACTACTAAGACTGAGAGTCAGGTTGAGCTAATCCAGTAAGTTACTATGAGTACTTTGTCCATTATTTAAGTTCCAAAATTCATCATCTGAAAATACTTCACAACATGATAAACCTTCCCACCCCACCACATACCAGTCACCAGAATCATGTTAAATACTGAGTGGCCACATGTACATGTGGTGCTGCTTCTGTGTTCTGATGGGCTCAATAAATGCCACCTGCTTACCAGAATTGTTCTGATATATTCTCTGTCTCTTTATGCTTTTAGAAATAGCCACCCAAATACTTTTGGTTGGGGTGAACAAATCCATGTACAAAATCCATAAGTCTTTCATATATGAATATTTCATATATTGCCAAACATCATTGATTTGAAAATAGTAAATGAAACCAAAACTATTACAACTTACTGAGTTTATGTCAGATACCATGCTAAGTGCCTTGCATATAGTCTTCCTGAAAATATAATAACATCCTTATTTGGCAGAAATATTATCCTAACTTCCCACTGAGGAAACCAGGCTCTGAGAGGTTAAGTGGCTGAGGCAGAATTTGAACTCAGGACTCTTTGGACTCACAAGGATGCATTGTTGAGAAGGAAAATTGTGCGGGCTGAATAGGGAGAGCAGCGAAACAAGGGTGATTGCTTTTCCTTAGGGAACAAGACTTGTATTCAATAAAGCCTAAGTGAAGTTTTACCTTGGTGAACAGAAATGCAACTATAAAACACTGAAAGTAGAAATTTCAGATATTGAAAATCTAGGTGGTTAATTTTTATAGCCTCTTGCAAAGAAACATCAGCTGTACAAAGAGAGGTAAAGGAGGAGCCTCTTCATCCGTATTTTATGATATCTCAGGACTGATTTATTGTATTATTGTACCAGGAAAAGAGGTTAAACAGGACATGGTGAAGGAGGACCTGGAGCCAGGCCAAAAGTTTCACTCAGGTAGTCTGTAATGTATTTCATTAAGTGATAAGAAAGATAAAAAAAAAAGTAGATACAGAATTTATCACGTAACAGAAACACTACAAAACTAACTTTAGAGCTTTAAGGGTTGTTTTTTTGAAGTAGGAACCATGAAAAAAATGTGAATTTATAATCATGAAATGTCTTACAGAATTGAAGAGAATCGAGTTAGCATTTGTGTCTCCACCTCTTATGAGATAAAAGTGCCTTCATAATTATGGCTTGTGTTTACTATGATGTGTCAAAGTGTTAATCTGGCAGGGGTATCTTATTTCTCATTTAAAAGAAGCTACAGAAAAAAAATATGGAAGCATACTGAAAGCAAAGTCATTTTATGAACCCATCCTACATTTTTATAGCATTTTCTTACAATGTCATGTCTTTTATTTTTTTAATTGCCTAATCAAATACAAATTCTCTTCCAAGTATGCAAAATTTTCAAATCATGCAGAAAAATATTGCTGGCTAAACACCAAACTTTGGATAGTGTGAGCACATTCACAAATATGTTTAATGTACACTGTGTGTAGGTAATATGTATAAATAACAATGTATAGTACTCTGTAACAAAATGCTGATTTTGTTTATGTATCCACTGGTAAGCCAATCTCTCCCATTTGGGTCAACTGAGGTGGTCCATTACTCTGCCCAAGACTGCTTTAGGCTTCAGATATGAGCAGGTGATATGATGCTATCCAATGAGACCCAGGGGAACTCTGCTACTAGGAAAGGTTTCCTGGGAGAGTTTGTCTCTTCATCTGTTGGATTCTCATCTGGAATGTACCAGTCTGATTAGGAGCAGAAAGGAGCTAGCAAAGGAGAAGGTTAATAGGCTGAGAATGGCAGAGAAGAAACATGGAAAACACTTGAGTCTTTGATAACTGTTTAGCCAAAGAATTAGCTAACCTTGGGGCAACCACATTTCAGGACTTCTTACTATGTGATTTAATAAGATCTTAACTGTTGAAGCAATTTTAAATTAGGTTTCCTCTTACTTGTAGTCCAAAGCATACTAACAATGGAAAACCCAACATGACTGAGCACCTTATTGTGTTCTAGGAGCTGTGATGGTCAGTTTCCATGCATTATATTTAACTGATTTCACATCTCTTTAAGAATATTTTCTCCATTTTACAGAAAACGAAACTAAGACTCAGAGGTCTAGTGAGACACCCAATTTCTCATGTCTGTTAAGCAAACAGGATGAGTTTCCAACCTACATCTGTCTGACTTTGAAGGCTATCATTTGAAATCTCTGCAGAGGCACATGCCTTTATGTGGTGAGTTATATTTTTACATATGTCTACATTTACATACACCTATGTGTAGTGTGGGCATATGTACATACTTACATATACATATATGTGTAGTGAAGGCGGTATCTATAGTAGCATAATTATTTACCATATATTTTGAATCTTTGATGGAGTGTTAAAGATAGCAAGAATAATTGAGGGAATAGGCAACAAAATAAATCAAATTGCAAGAACTGGGTAAAGTAATAATTACCAAGCTTCTTTATGCATTGGGAGTTACTTATCTGCCTTCCCCATGGATCTCTTCTTGCAGCTAGCTGGGACATCACTTCAAATGACATCTGCATTAAGTACTTATCAACCTGTACAAAGACCATGCTCAATGAGGGCTACCATACACTTTCCCTTTTTCATAGAACACTTTGCTAATTTATAAAGGCATTCTCTTTCTCTTTGACCTTGGATGCAGGCCTACAAATTTCTGTAACACAAGCTGCAACAGCCACTACCAGTAAGTCAAGTTTGGCTCTCTACTTTGAAACTCATTTGCCCTCTCAGTTCTACACATTCAATTGGTGGTGGGGGATGGGGGGGCGGCTCTTTGTGGATATAACTGAAAATTACAGGGAAATTGAGCAACGGTAACACATCAACTCCTGAGAGCTGAATAAGGTGCAATTACTGCTAACTGAAAATATTATCTATGTATTTCTGAAAATTGAGTCTAAAAACTACATTAGCAGCAATGAAGTTTAAGTGATCCCAAAAGAAAAGGGCAAAGTGTTATAAAATGTAAATGGCCATAATAAATTTGACAAGTTGGGCTATCTGTATGTCTGTCTCTTTTCACAGAGAGCTACATGCATGTTCATGAAGTAGATTCATATTTTCTAAAATCAGCATGTTATTTGATTGTACTGACTAGATAATTAAAATAGGAAGATAAACATGACATTAATGGATCTTACTGCCAGAAAGAACTCTGGAGGTCACATAGACTCTCTCCTGCCCATAACCACCTCTGTTCTAAGGAGAAAACTAAGGCTAGCAAGGCCAGTCCTTGTCCACAGACAATCTGGTTGTCTAACAGTTCAGCTAGGCTGTGTTTCTCCAGACTTCCAGCTCTGTGTTCCTCCTCTGTTTTCAAATTGCTCTGACAGCCTTTTCAGTAATGAGCACACATTTTGAACTTTAAAATTACATTAAACCTCAGAGGTTAGCTAAGTGTGTGGTGAAGAGAGGAGTGGGACATGGGTAAGAGAGTGAGGAAGGGATCTCTGATAACTTTCTACAGTTCTTTGGAAACCTAGCAGAATACAGGCTCCTGATTGTCTGACTGCCCTCTGTGGGTATCAATCTTCACAGGCTGGAGATGGTCTTGGTCATCAGTGGATGCAGTGGGGTGATTTTACCTGATGAACCCCATCCAATCGGCCAAGAGGCAGTGCCAGAGCCAGAAAACGATGGCCCAGCTGCCCCTGATATTCTTCTTTAACTACCCATTGCTGAGCTAGTAGTTCCATTAAAACACATTTCTATAGACCTCCACAGTTGTCCCTTGGCCCCAGATTTCTCCTTGTTCCTTCAGTTATCCAGTGAAAGACAAATGGATTCAGGGATCCCTGTAAATCTGGTTAATCGGATAAATAATATACACCCTCAGAAGAAAGAAATAAATGACTACACGTCGTATGCTTAGTACAAAGCAGGATTTCAAGATCAGGAAGTCAATGTTTCTGTTGTTACTTCTATGATGATTATATTTACAAGTCCCTAGTGGATTACTGTAAAAGCAACAGGGCTTTCCTGACCATTCATGTTCTATGATTTTATTGTTTCCTTTACTGATTAAATTGAAGGGTTACTGGTGAGTAGTTGAGACGGTGGACTTTTAAGTGACAGCCTTGGGTGTGAATTCTGACTCTGGCTGCATGCTTCTACCAAGGTGTACTTCACTGTGGGAGGAGGAATAACGTCCACACCCCTCAAAGATGTCCATGTCCTAATCCCTGAGGGTGAATACGCTGCCTTAGATGGCAAGAGGGATCTATAATTAAGTAATGGATATTAAAATAGGGAGGTTATCCTGGATTATCTGAGTGGTCCCATGCTAACCACAAGGATCCTTTAAAGATGGAAGAGAAAGGCAGCAGAGTCAGAGAAGGAGAAGTGACTATGGAAGAAGTCTCAGTCACAGGATCGCTGACTTTGAAGATGGAGGAAAGGGGTCACATGTGCAGAAATGAAGACAGCTTGAGAAGCTGGAAAAGGCAAGGCCACATTCTCTCCTGGAGCCGCTATCCAGATTTTAGTTCAGGGAAACCCGTTTCACACTTCTGACCTCCTGAACTAACTTCATATATTTGTGTAGTTTTAGGCCAATGTGTTTGTGGAAATTTGTTACAATGGTGACTGGAAACTAAGTGATGCTCCTTGAGCATCTGTGTCCTCATCTATAAAATGGGAGTAAAAAAGCATGTGTCCCAAAAGGCTGATATGAGCATTATATGAGACAATGTAAATAAAATGTCTGCACTTGGCACAGATTAAGAACTCAATAAATGTTTGCTGTCATTATGTTTATGATGTCACCACACAAAGTATGAATTTATAGATAGCTGATTATAATAAAGTGATTCCATAAAGCATATTTCATTATATCATAATAATATTTTTCACTGGAGCAGCACCTATCTGGTTTTTATGAAGCACTTCCATCCATATTGACTTATTCAATGCTCACTGTAATTGTGGAGGATCAGTAAAGCATCTACAGGAGGAGAAACTGAGTCTGCAAGGGGAGAGTACTTTCCCTAGGTAACTTAGAAGCTCATTTCGTTGGCCAGGGCTGGAGTACAGGGCATTTGCTTCCAAATACAGTGTGCTCCCAGCTTCAATGTGGGCTTATAGAAATACACACATACGGTACATAGAATCTTAATATGAAACAAAAATGATAAAGCCAAATGATGATGGGGGTTGTTCATCGCAACCCAAACCATTTCCCTTATGATCTCAGCCAGCGGAGCATTCTGCTGGGCCTCCAGTTCTTCCAAGCACGGCTTGAGCACTCTCTCTAATGCATCTAGTCAATTGTGCAAAGCACAAGGGAAAAAAATTCCATCCTGACCACAGCAGGCAATCACCTTATGCCCTGAAGCATGAAGTTTGATTACCCTTATCTCAGTTTATCATTAAATCAAAAACTGTTGCTATGAACACTGGCCCAGGACTTCATTTATGAAAAGATATAGGCCAGTCAGCAGAAATAAGTGACTGTCCTTTTTCTTTCAGAATTTCTGCTCACTGTAAAGATCTTTTGCAAACTGGAAAAAAAAAGCCTCTTCAGCTCGCACACATTTTATTACTTTCTTTAGTCTTTCATGAGCTAGCAGGGATGTCTTTGGCTCATAATCATTCTCCTCGCCATAGGCAAGAGGTCTTAGATCTACTACTGAGTGGCCTGCCAACATCAGCCCTGAGGTCTAGCACCTTGCTTAGATGGGAATCTGCATTTTAGCAAGATGCCAGACAATCTGTAGGCACATTGATGTTTGAGGAGGTCTGGCTACACTAGAGCACCATTTCTCAAAATGTGGTGAAGGGACAATGGGCATGAAGTTACCTGAAGCGTTCCTTAAAAATGCAGACTGCTGGACTTCATTCCAGATACAGCAAAACAGACCCATTGGTGTCAGGAATCTGCATTTTAACCCTATGTGATTGTGATAAACTTTAAAGTCTGAAGACTACTGGTTGATATCAAAGATGTGGGTAATGACGGAGATGGTCTGGAGTGTGCTTAAATTTTTATGGCATCATTCAGACTTTTAAAAGCCCTGGGGCCATCAGTATGGAAGATGTGCTAACTATTGATGTTTTGTCCTTCAACAGAACGGACAGTGGAAGCCAGATTTTTGACACTACAATTCTGAAACAGCTGACATTGGGGTTACAGATCTTCAAAAAGGTGCCAAGGTCTAGGGTAAATCTCCAGCCCACTGGACCCCTCCTGCCAAATTCCCCTTTCCAGTTTGGCTGAACGTATGGCAAGTGTAGTGAATGGGAGTTCAGGGTGGCTACTGCGGGGCTGGCTTCAAGGTACATATATCAGTTAAAGAGACAGGATAAAATCACATGGGAGAAGACAGCACAGTACAAGGGCTAAAAGCATAGGCTCTGGAGCCAGACTGCACTTTATTTTTATTTAACAGACACTGATATATTTATAGCACTCACTACATGCCAAGCACTATTATAAGTGCTGTTCAAATATTAATCCATCTGTGTCTCACAACACCCCAGAAGGTGGGTACTACCAGCATCATCCACCTTTTATAAGGTGAAAATGAGACCAGAGAGGTGAAGTAATTTGTTCAAGATCACACAGCTTATCAGTCACACTCCAAGACTCACACCCCCTAACAAGCTGACTCCAAGAGTTCATGTTCTGATTCATACTGCCTATCATGAATCCAAATTCCCTGATTCTACTTGTCACTCGCAGTTTGACCCTAGGAAAATGATTTAATCACCTATCACTCAGTTTCTTCCTACACAAAATGAGAATATTACTAATAATATGACCACGTCAAAGAATATTGATCAAATGATTTAATACATATTCTTACAAGTGTATCAGGCACACAGTAAGCACTCAGTATATGCTGGCTCTTAGCTAGCTATTAGTCCTGTACTCCCAGAGGTAGAGTGAAGATTAAATTAGATAACATATTTGACGTGCTAGGCGCTGTGCCATGGCACATGGTAAGCACACAGTAAGTGCTAGCTGTTATTTTAGTCTACTTGAACCAGGCCAGTTTATTTTAGATCCTGTCTGAAGGCAAGTGTGCTCTGTGCAGGGAGAGGCAGCTTGCCCTTTACTTCGACAAGCAACTGGGTGCTAGCCAGACCAATTACTAAACTAAACAGGTTCTCTGCTTTATGTCACTGGAATATTCCTGAAAAGTTCCCAATACTGAATTTGTCTATGCTTAATCCTTTTTCCCTATTGACCTATTTTATAATTTCTGATTGATCTTTAATTGGCAGTGATTCTTCAGACTTAAGATTTGTCTCTAAGACAGTCTGTCACATAACTATTAACTTGTAACAGACTTAAATATACCATGGAAAACTGAACCACTGGAGCAATTCTTGGCAAAGCAATTGACTTTATCATTCCCTAACGTAACTGTTTTCATTTCATTTTTCCTTTATTATCTGTTTTAATAAGCATACTTATACTACACAGAGTTTCTGGTCTTTCCTTTCATGAAGCTTATTACCGCCACTATTAAACTTAACCGTGGATTGATTATAATTTACGTTAACCAAAGGGTTAATGATGGCTTAGAAAACTTAATGTCCAAACAGGTTATCTTTGATTGGGGGTTTGGGTATGGTAGGAGGAAGGGAGAGGGTGAGGGAATTGGGAAGGTGGAGGGTTGGGGGCTGTTAGTGGCAGGTGAGTTTATCTGGAAGATTCAGGCCCCCAAAGGGGTGCTGATTCCCCCAGGAACCTTAAAATGAGATTTTCCAAAAGGAAGTATTAAAAATGTTCCAAATCATTTCCCCTTTCTCTATTGGGAAATGGTTGTCATAGCTCCAACCTCATTCCTTTCAGTTTACCAGCCATGATAAGCTGTATCTGCAATGTAATAAAAGGTTAAACTCAATTAGCACATTTATTAAAACATTTGCTGCGTATCTACTATGCGTCACTCCCTCTGCTAACTTACAGCGGTGAGCAGTCAATATAGCCTCAAAGAACCTGCAGTCTAAGCAGCACCTGGAGTCCAACTTGTATGAGCATGGTTTTAATACGTGTCTATCCTCTCTTCCACTTCCTATCTTCACATTCCCTCTCTCCCCTCCAAAAACCCGCATATATATATGCAACATATTCTTTATTATAGAGTCTACGTCTAGAGTCTTTTCAAGTTTAAGAAAAAGATGAAGCCAGTGAAGCAACAGCCTTCCAGTTTGGTTCTGCTAAACAACTCTATGAGAGGAACTCGATGCTGGGTAATTTGAGGCAAATCATCTTATTTCTTGCGATGTTCATGTGTATCACTGAACCAGTTGGCAGCTGATGTGTGGGTTTTAGTCCTGATCACGGAGCAATCTACTGAATTGCCACAAGATTGATCCCATTCATTCTGATGGCTTAAGCTGCAGGGCCATCTGCCGAATGGCTAAGTATAGTAGACCAGAGACGCTCAATAAATATTTGTGGATTGCATAGCAAACTGCCTCTTCACACCTGGATTGCAAGTCTGTCATAGGTAAGGGCTTAAATATGGACAACTGACCCTCGCTCCCACCGCACCCCTGGGCCTTTGACTAAGCTGTTCTCTATGCCTGGAATGTCCTCCCTCTCAACACCTCCCCCACCACCCCTCACTGTCCACCTGTCCAAATCCTACCTAGTTCAAGAACCAGCTCAAATATCAGCGACTGCACAGAGCCTTGCCTGACCACCGTGGCCAGAAATAATCTCTCACTCTTCTCAATTTCCCTAAGTCTGTGTATATCTTTTCTGGCACTTAAAACACACACCATTTCAGCTATTTGTACACCTTGTTTTTCCTACAGCACTCAGTAAGATCCCGGAGCTCTGGAGCTGAGCCCTCTCCAGCTCTGTGCTCACTTGTACAGAGTAGACCAGGGGTAAAAGTTAACTGAATGAACAAATGTTAGTGCCAGCAATGGCAGGAACAACTGCAACATTCTTTATTCCTTCTTCTGCCTTTTCTCCTTCTGTAGCTTTTAAAAATATCTTTATTTGATCCATCAATTACCCAGAGGAGGCCTAAGGACTTACTGATAAATAAAGACAACTCTGTAAACCAAAACAGCTTGCAAAGACCCTTATGATAACAAGTGAGGTGTAGGCCAATGGAGGGGGAATCTCAGTCCTTGGTTTGCTGACAGCCTGCTTCTGGGGAGTGGAAGTGTTATTTTCTCAAAGAGCTTCGTCTGCTGTAGTTCTTACGTGCCAGTTCCTCAGCTGAGTAGAAACTCCTGACGTTATTTTTAAGTACAGACTCCAATAATAGGCTAAGTAATTGTAGATCTTCCAGAGGGCTTATTATATATGTACCAACATATTGGGCTTTAAAAACCCATATTCCTTCCTATAAATATATGTTGAGAACCTTACATTTCAGTACTATGTGTAGTGGTCATGCATATTTCCCTTTTTGTTTCCTCTTATAGAGATCTTGAATAAAAAAGAAAAAAAAATGCTGATGCATGAGAGAGAATTTCTCAACAATGTGTCTGATTACTTACATGGGTTAAAAGATTTTCTCTCCATCATAACTATGAAAAATGTATGGTACAATCTAATGCAGAGTCTAACTTCAGTAACACACTTTCCATCCTGGTGCCACTAATGCTTGAACAGCTGCAGCTCTCACTGTCTTTGCTGATGGGGCCCATAAATACTCCTGGGAAATGGGACAAAGATACGTAATGGATCTTCACCTGCCAAGATCAGGGAAATGAATGTCAATCGCACGCGGACGCAGAAGCACTTTTTGGTGGAGAGTGATGAATATTGCCATTTGTCCTATGCCACTGTAATCTTGGACAGGAAAGCCTAACATGGAGAAAAATGGTGGGAGAGGATACTGTTCTAGGATGCTTGAGAAGAGCACAAAAGAATTATATGGCCAACAGGAATAAAAAAATGAAAGTAAAGTATAACAATATGAGTTAGTTTAGAAAAAAAGATTGATTTAAGAGCATATCCACACTGTACATATAATTTCATTCAGTATGCAATTTCCCCCTAAATCATGACTTTTTCATTGAAAAACAAATGTCAGAAAGATTCGGTAGTCAGAAAATTGCACAGTGGTCTTTGTTCCTGGAGGCAATCAAGCGCAGTGGTAAAAAAGTGAGCTGAGGCCAGGCATGGTGGCTCACTCCTGTAATCTCAGCACTTTGGGAGGCCAAGGTAGGCAGATCACCTGCGGTTGGGAGTTTGAGACCAGCCTGACCACGTGGAGAAACCCTGTCTCTACTAAAAATACACAATTAGCCAGGCATGGTGTGGCATGCCTGTAATTCCAACTACTCGGGAGGCAGAGGAAGGAGAATCACTTGAACCGGGGAGGCAAAGGTCATGGTGAACTGAGATCGTACCTCCAGCCTGGGCAACAAGAACGAAACTCTGTCTCAAAAAAACAAAAAAAGCAGGCTGAGATGTTGGGACGCCTGGGTTCAAATCCTGCCCCCACCACCTTTCCATTGTGTGTCCTTGTGAAAATGACAGCTCCTTGGCACCTCAGTTTGTTTCCCAATAAAGCAGCGATAATAACAGAATTCATCTTACAGAGCTGTTTGAGGGTTACATGATATAATCAATATAAAGATCTTAGTATGGTGCCTAGAATTGAGTCAGCTAACATTAAGCGTTAAGTATTGTGGTTGCTGCTGTTTTCTCCTCTTCTTCCTCCACCTCCATCATCATCACCATCATCATCATCCTCCTCCAGATGTTTTGTGGCTGATTTCACTAGTGAATGTTGAAGAAAGACTACATGCTAACTCACACCAAAACATGAAGCACTATCCCCTTTATACATCAATCTCCAAAAATTGGATTCCTAATTATGAAAAGTTTAAACATTCAAACAAAAAAGCTTGGCAACATAATCTAACAGATGTATCCATCTAATTCACGTTATTCTTGCTTGAACAAGCAGTGGCTACGATAATAGATATCTTATTGAGTAAAAAAAAGAAAACCAAACAAAAAAATGCAATAGAAAGCATTGGGTACTAGTAGACATGGGCCTTGTATTTAGGCATGTCGCATGTTCTTTGTGAAGAAGGATGTAGCAATAACATGCTCAGTTCACCAAAACTCTACATAGGTCTTTTTCTATCTTCAATCATTTGGGATCATGGGCTAAAGGCTACTTCATTCCTTTCTTCCCTTTTTCAAGTAGTCTAAGTTCTGAAGGTGTAAGATGAGTGGGATCTGAATGACTCCTTCTCGTGCTGTGATTCTGGTGGTTTGATCTTACCAAGCCTCAAGAGTCTTTCCTGTGATGGAATAAGGTTGGGGCAAGCCCCCTTTTAAATAGAACATGCCATTGCAAGGTGGCAAGGCCTTTCAGCAGGGGTGACCCCAGAACTGGATGAGGGGCCTGGGACAGGTTGCCAAACAATGAAAACATCCCGTTCTGGGTGTTAACTTTAGCTACCACAGCCAGACAATACTGCCAGTGGTGTGGAAGAAAAAACTGCTGTAGCCAGCTGTGCTGTTCACAGTCGGATGGATTCCATGTAGCTCCAAATGGTGATGGAGCCAGAGCCTGTTGTAGCCAAGGACAGGATGATGGATGATCTACATACTGTGTCCAAGTAGAAAGAATGGCAGAAGTTCACTTCAGGGTTGTTAAAATGCTAATCTGGGTGAGCTAACAAAAGCTTAATAGAAAAGGAAAGTTTGAGAAATAAGTACACCTCATGTGGTATTTGTGTGGACCACTGATTTCATCGCTCTTGGTTACATAAACGTCTGTTTTTCAAAGTAAGAACGTTTAGTAGTTTTCCTGTTGGGAGAAATGCAAGCAGCTTTGATTATCAGTGGCGCTGTCAGTGTTGTCAGGGTCTGAGGAAAACTCCACCCGACGATAGCCACCTCAACTGGAAAGTGTCATGGTATGTTTAAAATAGTTATGTGATTTTTATTCTGTGTGTCATGGGAATAAATCAGAACACCTTTTTTTTTTTCAATTGGAAGTTGGCAGCTGTTCACAAAATCAGCGGCAACCTAAGACACTAGCTTTGGTAGATATTAACACTAAGTCTCCATTCACATGAGCCACAGAAATTGAGATCTCTCTCACTCTAAGGACAGATTCAATGCGTGAATTACACTAATAGTACGTTGAATCATTCACTAGTGTTAAAGGCAGGTCAGCTGCACCACTGCAAATATCTGGTATGGATAGTCTTGCTTTAAAATATCTAGGATAAAATAATTCACTTCTAAAGAAAGGAGCATATCTACATTTCTTGCCAAAAGGTCTGTTTTGCCATCCTTTATTTCTTTTTATTTTTGCTCAAGTTGGATATACAGAGAAACATATCTGGTTTACCTGGTGTTGGAACACTGGCTAGCACAGCTCCTTGTAAATGACAAATATTCAATAAATACTGACTGGCTGGCATACCCCAACTGCCACTTGCTTCCTCTAGAAAGGCATCTAGAATATGCAGGCTTAAAGTCTATTAATTAAAATAAAAGACAATATTTTATCCTGCAATATGCCAAGGAAAGAGTTCACCTCCTATGGTTACACTACTAATGGTTAGGCATTCAGCCAGGCTCTTAACTCTGCATAAAATACATCAAAAGGGTGAAAAATGACCCTATTTCAGATGCATTTTTCACTCTTTGTATCTTAGTGAAACTCACATGCAAGAACAATGACTAAGCTAATTACCAAGGTTTATTATGATGGAGCAGCAAGAAGTAAAGAACTTCTCCAGTTTCAGTAAGTCTGTAGCAATTATGGCCATGTTTGTGAATCAAGCCTCTGATTCCTGTTTACTTGCTTGTGGCCTTTCAAGCAATAGAAACCATGACATTGATGTAGGGGCCTGCTTACCCCAATCACAGTTACTGGACAGAGCCTTCCTATGCATGCAGCAAGCAAGGGAATTGAAGTCTTCAGGATTTGTAAGTTGTCCTCACTCTAAGGACTAACGGATTTTATCACAGCCATCTTTCAAATCCATCAACCCATCAAACCAGGGGAGACATGACCAGATGGTGCTATTAGAGGGCATCAAAAGAAAAAAAAATGAGAGAGAAAGAAGAAGAGGGCAGAATGCCCACAATCTAAATCAAACTCTAGTTAACCAGCTGTCGGTGATGAAGAAGTCACAATATTTCTGGCATACTCTCCTGAATCACAGAAATGTTCTTCAAATAGAAAAAAAAAGGTTATTTATATACCATCCCTACTAGAAATAAGGCCAGGTAGGAATATTCTGTAGGATGCAGCAAGAAATAGTTGCTGGTTGTTAATCTAACAAAACGTGCCAATGGAAGAAAACAGTCTGCTCAAGAACACATTTTGGAAGCCTTAGGGTTATCTATTTAACTGTCTTTCTGGAAGCACATTCTAGAGACCTAAACTAAACAAAGCACACACAGTAACTATAAAAAACAAAACTCAGCTATGGCTGAGCTATGGTTTATTTATCTCTAGATGTTTAGGTCATGGTAATATAGACCCAAATCTCAGCGCTTATCTGGCAATTTCTATTTACCTAAGCCAGAGTAAATGTTTGTATAATATCTGCCAGCTTGACAGAATATGCCTGTCACTCACTACACTGAACATGACTACACACAACTTAATTTCCTGAGTTAGACACCTAAAACAGTGAGATATTTATTTTATAACATGAATAATCCAGCATCAAAACCTATTGTTTTAAGCCACCAAAGGATAGTAAAATCCCTCCCTTGAGCAGTCTGAGATGAGATTTCTTAATACTACAAGGAAGAAACCTTGAAAATGTTCTTCAAACAAGAATTTTTCCTATTCTAAGGGACAGAGATCAAGTCATTTTAGAATAATGTGACACCTTTCCCTGGGACTTCAGCTTTGGAATAAACAAAAGAATCCACTTAATGGACCCCAAATATCAAGTAGGGGGAAGGGCAACCTTAAAAAGCACCCATAATCTTTACTACAGACTTAAAATTCTTAGTGGCCACAAGTTTTAAGGAAAAATCCTCCTACTCATCGCCCTTTCACCCCAAGTAACAGGAAACACTACTGATATTTTTAAGGGAAAGCCCTCGCTGTAGTGGCAGACATAAGGTCCAATGACTGTTTACGAAGTCTATATATCTGTAATCACGATGCGCTGCGCCTTCTGTGTGAGATCACCCAGCTGACGGCGCTGAGAGCTCGGCATTCTGGAACACCAGTTACCGGCTGGTCACCCCAAAACCGGGAGTACTGCGCTAAGTTCCTCTAACGCTGCGATTCATACCGGGACTTCAGTCCCCCACACACACCCCAGCCCCACCAGCTCCCTGACATTTCGCCTTTTAACAAGTTCGGGATTTAAACAATCACCTGACATCAATGGTCCCAAGAGTGGATTGAGCACAAATATTTCAAACCCAATTCTCATCCACACTTCCAAGTCCTTTATGACCTTTCATTTCAATCCAAGAATTACACATGACAGAGGAAGCTTCAAGCCCTTCTAAATTACCCAAGGAAGTCTGCTGCTGTCTCTGTTTCTGCAGACCAGGGACAAACACCGCCGCTGTCTACACGGGAAATAAAAGTTTCCCTACCTTCCTCCTCACCGTGCGGTGGCTCCCTCCCGGCTGCAGGACGCCTCTCACCGCCAGAGAAGGGGCTCATGCAAAATTGACTCTTCCTGATTTGTTTCCATCCATAATTGATGGGGAGATGAGAACGTAACACATCTCAGCGCCGAGCTCTTGCCGCCTGGCGGAGACCCTGTCCAAGACGCTTCCGTGAAGCATTTCCAGCCGGTGAACAAAGCACGGAAAGTTGCTGAGGAGAACGGCCAGGAAGAGACACCGGGTGCTGGGTGGGAGGTGGGGTGAGCGGCGGGCAGCTCCGGGCCCGGGAGCCCGCCCGCCGTGCGCTCTGCCAGCAGGGGGAGAGGGGCGGTGGGAAGTGGCCGCCCTCCCGGCCGGAGCCTTTGCCTGGGCCCCGGGGGCCGAGAATGGGGGTGGCCAAGTCACCCGAGCCCCCGCCCCTCGCCGGCAGGCACTACCCGGGGACCGGGCAATCCGGGGGCTCAATGACAGGTATCCTGTGCCCGCGAGGGGCTGCTTCGGCCTTGGCTGCGGCGCTGCGCCGCTTCTCCAGAACGCAGGCGAATGCTCGCCCGCCCGCTCCTAGCCGGGCTGGAGCTGCCCGACCCCGGCCGTCCCAGCGTCCGCTCCGGGGCCCACC